TAAACTTCCATACATCGCTTGGTAGCTTGGAATACATAAGTTTCCTAACCCCTGAACCCCAAAACCCCAAACCCCAAACCCTAAACCCCAAAACCCCAAACCCTAAACCCCAAAGGCCCTAAACCCCAAACCCTAAACCCCAAAACCCCAAACCCTAAACCCCAAAGGCCCTAAACCCCAAAGGCGCCCCTAAACCCCAAACCCTAAACCCCTAAACCCCAAAGGCCCTAAACCCCGAAGACCCAAAACCCCTAAACCCCAAAGCCCCGAAGGCCCAAAACCCCTAAACCCCGAAGCCCCTAAACTCAAAACTCTTGAGCCCGAGCCGAAGTTCATCAAGCAATCCATGCAGCATCCGAACTTGAGGCCATTGGAGAGGTTCGTGGCAGATCCACCTCAGGGGGTTTAGGGCTTAGGGTTTAGGGTTTAGGGTTTAGGGTTTGGGGTTTAGAGTTTAGGGTTTAGGGTTTAGGGAACTTGAGGCCATTGGAAAGGTTCGTGGCAGATCCACCTGAGGGCTTAGGGCTTAGGGTGTCTCGGGTATAGGGTCTATACTATACTATATTATACTATACTATGCTATACTGTACTATACTATATTATACTGTACTAGACAGACAGACAGACAGACAGACAGACATATTTACATACATACATGCATACCCATCAAATGTATGTACGTATACATACACACACACATATGTATGTATGTGTATATATATATGTGTGTGTGTGTAGATATACATATGCATGTAGACACACCCCTCTCTGCTTGTGTTCATGCCTCAAAGACAAGACCAGCCGGATGCATATACAAGCGCGTATTTAAAACTTGCGCGCATGCTCAGGTACAAAAGCACCATAGCATGTAAATCTCTGGCTAACGTGTGTGCACCTGCATGTGTGTTTGACCAAAATATGCCTTCACGGGTGTTGAAACATTTCACATCTACCTACAATCAAACAAGTATATTTGTCGTCCTTTTCTTCAACTCTCCCTGAACCCTACAACCTGCACCCCCTCCAAATCGCAAAGAAAGCCCCTGAACCTAAAGCTCAACCTAAAAGCCCTAAACACTTAGCACCCTTGTAGAACCCCTTCAAGGAACCCAGGGAAGCCCGAACTGAAGCCTGAACTAACGCCCAACCCAGGTCTCCGACCTGGGTGACAGGTCAAGGACCTGACTTTCGAGTTCTTGGCCTTCAGCTTCTCGTGGAGCCCGTAAGTGAAGACCTAGTCTAATTCTAGGTTCCCCAGTACCCATAGGCCCCTAAGTGGTTCCTTTTTGTGATTACCTTATAGGAATCTAAATATGAACCATAAACAGGACCTACTTAGGGGCCTATGGGTAACCCCTTAAAAATAAGGGTACCCTTTTTCAATTATTTGGTGTAATATTTTAAGAAGAGGACCCCAAACTAAACAGGGCAAAAGGGTACTACCGGGGCACCTAGTTTTTGTTTAGAACTTAAGGTTTAAGGGAAACCCGGTTTAGTGTTTCAGGGCTGAGGGTTTGGGGATCCGGAGTTTCGAGTTCAAGGTTCAAGGCTTCGCTTGTAGTCTTCGGGGTTTAGGTGAGGGCTTGGGCTTGTAAAGGAGGGCTCTGTAAGGGTGTTAAAAGGGTTCGGTAAGGGCCACAGCAGTACAACTACAGGTTCCATTATAAACCGGGTACCTGGGGTTCTGGCTTTCGCTTCTCATTCGAGAGTCATCCCTTTCAGGGGAACCTGGTTTTATGGTCAGCATCCGCTAGATGAAATTTCAACCCCCCCAAAAAAGGTGGGTTATGACCCGCTGGGTAGCTCAAAGACCACCCCCCGCCAAGATGCAGAGCTGTGTAGGGTTCGGGGCTGAGGAAAGTTAACCAAACAACAAAAACCCGCCAAGGGACCCTTGGGGTAGCTCAAGGACACCCAATATTTAGAGCTGTTCAGGATTTGCTATGCTTAGACTTAGAGTAACTAAAGACCAAAACCCTAAACCCGAAACCCTAAACCAAGTGTGAAATACAAAAGGAAGCAAGATGGCAACTTGCCACCCGAACACGGAGTTGGCCAACTTCGTCTGGAAGTAGCGATGATAGCCTTGGTCCCAAACCAACCTCTAAACACCTGTGAGGAGACCCCATAAACATCGGGTTTAGGGTTTAGGGCCCTTTCGCAAGAGCTGACCAAGTGGCAGGCCCCACCCATCATCTTGATTGAGTCTCCGCCCAAGTTGCCACCGTTCTTCCCGAAGTACTTCTCCTGCTCTTGGGATTAGGGCTTAGTTCTCTTGGACCCGAAAGAAGCCCTAAACGTGAAAACTCAAGCTTACGGTTTAGGGTTTAGGGTTTAGGGCTTAGGGCTATTGTTTAGGGTTCAGGGCTTCATGACAAGTCATCCGTCCTCCAAACCTTTATTCACCGTGTGAAGACGTCCAAGACTGGAGTGAGTCACCTCTCTTCTTCAATATCTTCACAAACGGAGACAGAAAAGCTCAAACTGTCTAAGACTAAGATAGACCAAATATGTGAGGGCAAAAAGTACCCGCAAAACTCTAAACGGTTCTCTCATAGGCCATCGAAGTCGCAACGCGAGCATCCCCGGTGGCTTCGGCTTCGGCTTGTAACAAGGGGAAGAGCTCGGCTGCGAGCAGAAAGTGCGAGAGGTGATTCGTCTGCATCTGTGTGTCATAGCCTTTCTTGCCCAGCTCTTCGGCCCACAAAGCTTAAGGTTTCATCTGAAAAGAGGCTGTCGTCTTCGCAAAAATAGTTCAAGGTTTACAAACTCAGCTACTAAGTAGCCGTCTTTGGTTGCCCTGTCTGGCGTGGCCATGATGCCTGCATTCAGGGAGAGGCAGTACAGCTTCTCATACTTGGACTTGATCTCGGCTGCGGCTTTCCGGACACTCTCGAAATCCTGGAGGTCACACGCAACGTCGATAAACTTCCCGTCGGGTACGATGGTCTTCAACTGGTCCATAGAATCGCTGACCCGCTGAGACGTGCGATTCAACAGGAGGACTGTTCCCCCCAGCTCGGCCACGACCCATGCAGCCACAAAGCCTGGGCAGGTGCTTCCCAAACCCTAAGGCTCTAAGGACTCACATTTTAAGGCTTTTGGGCCCAAAGACCATACTATATAAGGCTTTTGGGCTAGTTTGGGCCGAGGGGAAAAATGCAGACATACTACCATTTTGGAATCAGGCCCGAAACCGTGAGGGGAATGTCTTCTGGGACCTAATTCCAGAATGGTAGCATATGTGGACCAATGGACCCTCTGGGTTAAGGAACTTACCATAGCAGGGAAAAGCGAATTCAAATGATACGCTGTCCTCTTCTCTGTCTTAAGTCAAGCTCCTGAACAAGAGTCCCACCCCCGGTTGAAACCCTCTACAAACCTATGCGGCCCTTACACAACTCCTACCTCTCGAACTACGACACACTCGCGTAAGCTTAAATGTCGCCTTCAAGTGCCTTAACCCTTACCCTCAAAGGACTCATATTTTGAAGGCTTTCGGGCCCAAAGACCCTATTATGTAAGGCTTTTGGGCTTTTTGGATGGTGAGGGTAACAATGTCCCGGAAGCCAGTACCAGATGTCGTGCCGGTGATGGCGAAAACTTTGCCGTCCACGCGGGGGAGCCCCTTCTTGAACTTCGGAAACCACTTCCTGGGCTGTTCTTTGGAGGCCCTTTGACCAACAAAGTATACTTTTCATACCTGCTTAAGTCACAAAAGTCTATATCCTAAGCCCTGTAAGGCCCGTCACCCTGAACCCTAAACCCTAAACAAAATATTATGTATATGCCACACTTGAAGAATGTGCCAAGCATGCCTTCTTCGCAAGCCCTTGGGCCTAAACCCTCAAGACTTATGGTCAATAGCAGCCAGGCTTCGGTGCACGGCCCATTCTGAAGTGCGAAAGGCAGATCCAGCTACTAAAGCAACTATGGCTTGAGACACTGCCAGGGAGTCCGAAGTCTATAAGTATAAATGGCTGGACAGCCTCACGCACTTCTCAACGACCTAAGTTTAGGGTTTAGGCGCTGAGAGGTATAATTTCTACTGCATCAGAGGCAGAAGGTGCATCTCTCAACACATGTGAAGGCCCACCTTCCGTCGCCGCTGTCGCCGAAGCCGATGTAGCAAGCGACATACTACTCTGTACGCAAAACAAGGGTCCTGCAGCTTTGAGGTATAGTATATTGGGATGCAGATACCTTAATATATACGGACCATAGACACACACCGTTCAGACCCCTTGTCGGCAGAACTACACCCCCAAATGCTCAGGTTTACGCCTCAGGACTTTAAAAGTGCAGGGCCCGAGGGTTCTATGAAACTATAGGCTAATCTTGCTACTGGACAGGTGGAGTCTCGACAGCTCCTTCAAGAGCCATGGCGCCGTCGTTCCCACCAACCTTGGGCTGATCTACGGACCGAAACAGTTCGAAAGGGACATCGAGTTTCGAGTTTAATTAGGGCGTATACGGGGGCTAAACGGTAAGGTTTTAGAGGGACCACTCTGGCACGAACCAGCATGCCTTGATAGTAGCAGTAGCAGTCTCCAAGTAAACCCTCGGCAGCATTGTTTCCCGCCTGCTGCCTGACTCTGTTTGTGTTACCGCAACCTGAAAACTTGATATCTTCTTGCTGGTGCTATCTGTCCTCAAATGCGACGGCGATGACTAGTAGACTAGTAACTAGAAATGTATTACGGCGATCACGACGACGACAACTGCGAAGACGACTATGCTTTGTTCCATGGCATCATGAACTAAGAATCTTAAGACATCTAAGCTCAAGATAGATCCTCAGCCTAAACCGTAAAACCCTGAAGCACAAACTCTAAACCCCAACTAAGGCGCACCAGCGAATGGCTCTCGCTCGAGGCCCTTTTTCTGCACCCTCAAACCCGAAGCCCTCGACCTCGCCATGCTGAGCAGGTCAGGATCAGCATTCATCTAGGATTTAAGGTTTAGGGTTTGGGGTCGAGGGCTTCTAAAACCAGCCCCAAACAGTGCACACGCGCCCCTTCAACAACAAGAGACGGAACCTAAACTCTGCCTGAGATGTAAGGAAGAGCTCGGGGAAGACGAATCGCCTCCCAAAGGCCTCCGAAGCCAAGGAGCCAAACAAATCCACTACTGCAACATCTTGAAGTAAAAGAACCCTCAAGGCTACTCAACCCAAAACCCAAACCCTAAACCCTAAACCCAAAACCTGCAATACAAAGACTCCACCACAGAACTACCCGAAACCTTCGGCTGTGCAGTCCGTGCATGGAGCTTGCCATTGCGAGACCGATTTCGGGGGATCTGGTTAGAGGAGTTGGGGTTTGTACAAGTCTGCGAACTCCGGTTGGGGGTCGATGGGTATGGTCCAAAGGTTCAGGGCTTACGAGGGCTGGAGGCTTACAAAGCTTAGGTCCTTAGGTTTAGGACTTTACTGCCACCAAACTGAGGAAGCCCACATGGTCAAACCGTGTTGGGCCGGCCGCCATCACCTCCAGGGATGCTTTTGAAGGACGCGTGGGGTTTTGGGACCTGTCTGTCTCTGTCTGTGTCTCTGTGTGTGTGTGTGTCTGTGATAGAACCGCAGTGCGAGGTTCGGGCGTTGGAAGAATTCAGGGTACATGATTTGGGTTTTAGGGTTCAGGGTGTTGGGGGTCAGTTGCTTCTTTCTTCAAGCGTCGTAGACAGTGTTTGTAAAGTGGATATTGCGTAATATCGCGGGGCGGCTGCGAGGGAGGGCCACTAAGGTCAACTGAGCCGACAGAAATTACGAGAGAGGCTTGCCATTCAGCGGCCTGTGGGCGCGGTCATACGGTTGATGATATAAATCCTGCATTACCCTAAGGACCCTAAACTATGGGAAGTATGGTATATATTCCTTACTATGGGTAGTGCAGGATGATTTATATCATCAACCGTAGGGAAACCTCTTTGAAGAAACAGCCATAGCTGCACAACCAACAGTGAAGCTTTAAATCTTCTCCAGACATCCAGAATGAACATTCCCCAAACCCTAAAACCCTAAACCCTAAAACCCTAAAACCTAAAACCCTAAACCCTAAACCCTAAAACCCTAAACCCCTCGTCTCCGGAAGAGCCCCAACTGTGGGGACTTCTGCCACAACACTTCTGTGCAGTTCAAGCCCTCTGTCTCCCTGCAAAAAACAGCGGGCGCCATCGCAAGGCACTAAGAAACCGAAGGGTTCGCTTAAGGACGAAACGGACCCTTAAAAGTAGGGGCCCTCTACCCCTTATACTATGAATTCCTATATGGCATATGAGCCTTAAATCCTTTTAGGGTTCATTTCGTTCCTAGGGTTCATGTAGCCCTGTACCCACGGAGATGGACCCCAAAAGGAACCCCTTAATGGAACCTTTACAGAAGCCCGCAGAGGAGCGGCCCTCGTACCCTTCTAACGCGTCCACCTCGTGACGACGCACTCGCCCGGGCCATGTGCAGGCAAAGCAACCACACTAAGGTGTAGGGCTTAGGGGGTTAGGGTGTAGGGCCCTAGGCCTTAAACCCTAAGCTCAAAACCGGACTGCTTGCTAATGAAGCCCTAGAACGAAAAGGCCGTACAGCCTGTGGAAGGTACCTCGCATGGTCCTGTCAGGTCGTAGCGATAGTGCATGGCTTACTTACCTCTGAAACTCAACCCCAAACCCCCAACTTCTAAACACCTAAACTCTACAACCTAAACTCCTAAAGTCCTAAACTCTAAACGCTAAACCCAACTCCTAAACTCCTAAACCCGAACCGAAAGGGCTATACCTGCTCAGCTCGGGGCCGGAATCTCCTTGGTGCTCTGCTTTCTCGGTATGCATGTTGCCAGGGTTCGGGTTTAGGTTCTAGCGGTTCGGGAGCTCCAAGCCCTTCGCCTAAGGAAACTACAGGTGGGGAGTTTAGGGTATATAGGGCATCTACAAGGCTTCTATAAGGTATATAGACCTTCTGTAAGGCTCCTATAACGGTAACTACCCACCTGAACATGTCCTAGACTAAAGGGTTTAGGGTTTTCGGCTAACTATACCCCTTATACCCTCAGAGGATTCAAAAATTTAAAGGCTGTTTGGTCCCAAAGACCCTATTATGTAAGGCTTTTAGGCTATTTTGATGCTAAGGGTACCAACCAACAGTCTCCAAGCCTACACCCCAAAACCCCAACCCCTAGGCCCTAAACCCTAGAACCCGAAGAATTCAAGACTCCAAGAACTTTCGAATTCTCCTGGTTTTCCATGTCTGTGAAAGCTCGAAATCGGCGGCGAAGCATCGATCCGCCTTCACAGTCAAGATCCTGCTTTTGAGGAATGTAGGGTGTAAGGTTCAAGGTTTAGGGTCTTTACTGTAGTCTATGCTAAGGTCGTCTCTTTCTCCATGTCAATGTTAGAATTTAGAACTCTTTCAACAGAATTCTGAAGCAGCAGGGTTGCAAATTGGAAAGCAAAACAAGGATGATGCTGGAGACTACACTTCAAAGCACAGACCTCTACCTGAACTCTAAACCCTGAACCCAAAGCCCTAATACCTTATGCTTGCCATGGAGGGTCCAGGCAGAAAACCGTGCAAAAATGTGGATCTTAGCCTGCTGCGGCTACACAACCCCCCGAGCCGACTTCTTCTTCTTGTGGTCTTGATATAACTTCTTTTTTGCTACTATTACGGCTATTCTTCCTGTTTGATTATTCCTCATTATTCCTTCGTCTTGTTGTCAGTATTATCATGAATAGTCCATATTTTCTATCAATTATTATTGTCAAATTATTGTTGTTACTCTATTATTATACGTTGTGTTTATTAACTAGTGAAGTTATTGTTTTTATTTGTGTATTATTGCTGTTACCTATTCCTATCGCTAGGCTGGTGGACGACGACCATGACTGCTGTTATTTTAAAAAATATTGTGGTATTGTAACTGTTATGCATTCTTGTCCTTGTGCGGGGTGGGCTGTGCAGTTCCAAAATCCCG